TGCCAAGTATTGGAAATTTGGTCACATCTGTCTGCTTTGTTTGTGTGTGTTGTGTATTGTATGTTTGTGTGTATGTCTGGTATGGGGGTGTATCAGTTACTTTGTTTGTTTTTGGATGATTTTTTGTTTTTTTTTCTTCTGGCAGAGTGTTTTCATCTGAAAGAATATCTTCGTCTAGATAATTGTCTATTGAGTTGTATATATTGGAAAGATTGTTAGCTATGTTTTGCACATTGGCGCTTGTGCTTGGGTTGTTCCCCATTATTGATGGTTGGTCGTATTGTTTGTGTCACTGGGAATGAGGTTGTGGATGGTACTCATGAGATTGTCCACTGTACGGTTAGTGTTTTGGATTGTTGCATGGATTTGTCTTTGTTGTGCTTGTAGGTCTTGGACTTTGTTAATGCTCATATATTTCTCTTCTTGATTACTTTCAGTTTGATTATCATCTGTATTAGATTCTGAGATAGATTCAGTTCCCTCCATGGCACCTAGGCCATCTTCATTATAGTATTCAAGGTTTGTGATTCTTTCATCCATTTCAATCATCTGTTGTTTGATTTCTGCCAAGTCATGTTGCATTTGCCAGAGAATGTTTACCACTTCTTGAAGGTTGTTTGGATTGTTTGTTGACTGGTCCTGTGTTTGTTGTGATTTTGCTGCAGCTGTGTAGGATTCGGGTCTGTTTGGTCAACTTTTGATTCGGTTTGTCTCCATGGTTTTTCTAATATTTGCCGTTTTTGCTGGTTTGAATTTTTGATATAGTCTTCCGAACTTATTTGCTTGTTCTTGGTTGTATTGTTGCCATTGTGTTTTTCTTTCTTTGATTGGGCAGTTGATTGCGAGGTATGTGTGTACATTACAAATTGCGCAGGTTTTGTTTTCGATTTGTGCCCATGTGACTTGTGTTTCTCCAAGGGTGAAATTGTGTTCTAGTGCTTTCTGTAGATCTTTGTGGCTTGCGAAGTTGATAATTGCTACTTTTCTCCTGCGATAGCTCCCTGTTCTAGGGATATAGCATGTCTTTGCTTTGATTTGTTGACAGATTATGCGCAAATCAAATGCAGTTGTGTTTGGCGGAAGGTTGACCAATTTTGCTGCAATATTTTCTCTATCCTTCATTTCTTGTAAGCTCATTTGTGTGTCAAATATTCTTACTGCATCTGCTTTCAATGGGACACTCCATGTGCTTGTGAGTTTATCCTTGCTGCTCTTTTCCTGAAAAGTTATAATGGCAGATTGCCACATGTGTTGGGTGCTCATACTCATACTGGCGATCTCTCCATATCTGGCAAAGGCTTGTTGTACTTCTATGGGTTTTGTATCCAGTACCCTGATACTATTTTCCTGTTTTGTTTCGGCGGCTGGGGTTGGCATGTGTTTCATATGCTTGTTGTCCAATTCCGAAAGATTAATTGCACATGCAGTGTCTGCAGCTTGTTTGTCTCCAAAAATGGCAATGATCTGTTCTTCTTGTTGTTTTTCTTCCTTATGAATTGCAAGAAGACCTTCGGAGCTTCCCAGGGCTTTTGTAATATACTGGACCTTTTGCCAGATATTGTCTCCTGGCACCTTTAATGCTGCAATTCCAATCTTGATCTGTTGTCTACCATATCTTGTTACTCTGTCAAAGGGTGAATGTGGTCTGGGTTTTATGCTCGTTCTTTCTGCTTTTTCTTTTCCTTTAACCATTTGCCAGGTACTTTGTTCTTCTTGAATGTCTTGGTCAAAGGTGAACATCTCTTCGTCACTGTCATCTATCCTTGCTACACCAAAGTTATATTGTTTTGACTCACTGTTCTTAGGTGCTTGTGTTGCTTCAGTTTGCTTTTCTTTGTTTTGTGCTTTTCCTTCTGGGGTATTCAGAGTAGAGGTGGAGGTCTCGCCCAGCTCTTTTTTTACCATTTGGCTCCATCTGTTTTCAGTCTCTGTTTGCGTGGGCTTCTGCTGGGTCTTGGTTGCTTGCTATTGCTGTTGTTGTGCCTTTGACTTTGGTGACAGTGTTGGGAAACCAGTCGATACTTCCATTGCTGGTTTTTCTTGTTTTCTGGTTGGTTTCTGTACGGGATAGGGTGTTGTCTCTCTACTTCTGATATTGTTTCTCCCTCGGACATACACACAAACATACAATACACAACACACACAAACAAAGCAGACAGATGTGACCAAATTTCCAATACTTGGCA